ATTATTACTTATTTTTAGGATTTGATTTTTATTTAAAATTTGGTAAAGAATTTGGATGTAACGTTGAGGCAATTGTTGTGTAGATAACATATATATTATTTTATGTTTTTTTTTTTTTTTTTTTTTTTTTTTGTTGGTCTGCGCTCGGCTGAACGGCCGAACGTGTCGAGAGGGGGTGACGAACGTTCAGGCATTCGGGTTCGGGCTTTTGGCCCGTCCCGAACGGCGGTAACCCTGTAGGGAGAAGAGAACAACAAACGAGGGACTGTGACAAATTGTTTCGTTGGAGTTTCACCGACTCATCAGGAGGCTGAACCCTCAACAGTCTGCAGAATCCCCTAACTGATTACACTGTAAGTGATAATCCACCTTAACCCTGGTTGTGGTTAAGCATCAACGACTGCACGACAACTACCACCCTGAGGTAGGCACCAACCACTGCCCTCAAGGTACCTGTGGCAAAAGTCAAAGCAGACTATCACTCACCCACACCAGATGGAAAAGTCTACAGACTGTCGGTTCACACCCCATCACAAGCAAACAAAACACGCACGAAACAAAAAAAGGTCTGTCACAGCCAAAAAATACACTCAAGACACGCCGCTGACACTATATTTGTTTTTTACGAAAAACAATATGTTCGCCCGAACATTTTCGGGAGTTGTTCACACGAACGCGAGAACACATTCGCGGGAATGTGAAGGGTCGAGAACACGTTCGTCTTGCTACGCAGGTCGTGACCTCTCCCAAAAAACAATTTTATTTTTTATTTTTTTCCAACCAAAATGGATTTGCGAGAAATGTTGTGAATACAATGCCAGGTGGAAAAGGTCACGATGACCCTGATTGGGAAGTAGGAACTGCGATCGGATAGGGAGGGGGTTGATCTCCCTCTCCCCTCAATTTTTTTTTTTTTTTTTTCGTTTTTCCAACCGATATGACTTTGCAAGAAATATTATGAATCGAATGCTAGGTAGGAAAGGTTACGACCACCCTGATTGGGAAGTAGGAACATCGATTGGATAAGGAGGGGGTTGATCTCCCTCTCCCCTTGATTTTTTTTTTTCTTCCGTTTTTCCAACCAAAACGGCTTTGCGAGAAATGCTGTGAATCCAAGTGGGAAAGGTTACGATCACCCTAATTGGGAAGTAGGAACAGCGATCGGATAGGGAGGGGGTTGATCTCCTTTTACCCTCGTTCTCCCCCCCCCCCCCCCGAACCAAAATGGCCTTGCAAGAAATGTTGTGAATCTAATGCTACGTGGGAAAGGTCACGATCACCCTGATTTGGAAGTAGGAACAACGATCGGATAGGGAGGAATGGGTGCAAACGGAACAGCGATCGGAGGTCCGGAACCCTTGTCATTCGTGAGGGGTCCGATGTTCTGCATGTGAACAAACCCCCACCCGTGTTGCAGGCGGGATCCAGAACGTCGGACCCTACAAGCTCATTCGTGACAGGGCCCGACATTCTACACCATGTCCTGGATGCCCACCCATGTTGCGGGCGGGATCCGGCGGATCCAGAACGCCGGACCCTTTGGGCATTCGAAAGAGGGTCCGAAATTCTGGATCTGCCGAATCTCGCCCACAACATGGGTGTGGGTCCGGGGGATCCAAAATGTCGGACCACCTTGCCATTTGTAAGGGGGTTCGGCGTTCTAGATCCACCGGCCCCCCACCCGTGTTGTGGAGGAGAGGGTCCGGCGGATCTAGAACGTCGGACCCTTTGGGCATTCGGAAGAGCGTCCGATGTTCTCGATCTGCCAGATCCCGCGCACAACATGGGTGGGAGTTTGGAGGATCTAGAACGCCGGACCCCCTGGCCATTTGTGAGGGGCCCACCCATGTTGTGGGTGGGATCCGGCAGATGCAAAACGCATGACCCTCCGACTCTCATTCGTGAGAGGGTTTGACGTTTAGGATCTGTCAGAGCCCCTCCCATGTTGCGGGCGGGATACGGAGGATTTAGAAAGCCGGACCCCTTGGGTACTCAAGAGAGGGTCCGGCGTTCTGGATCCGACGGACCCCCACCCATGCTGCGGGCGGGATCCAGCGGATCCAGAAAGCCGGACCCCGTGGGCATTCGGGAGCTGAGAGGGTCTGACGTTCAAGATCCTCCGGATCCCCATCGGTGTTGAGGGCGGGATCCGGTGGATGCAGAACGCATGACCCTCCGACTCTCTTTCGTAAGAGGGCCCGACGTTCTGGATCCGCCAGACCCCCACTCATGTTGCGTTCGGGATCCGGCGGATCCAGAAAGCGGGACCCCTTGGGCGTTCGGGAGAGGGTCCGACATTCTGGATCCGCCGGACCCCCACCCGTGTTGCGGGCAGGATCCGGCGGTTCGAAAACGTCGGACCCTTTGGCCATTCGGTAGAGGGTCCGGCGTTCTGCATCCGGCGGAGCCCCACCTGTGTTGCGGGCGGGATCCGGCAGATCCTGAACGCCGAGCCCTCTCACGAATAGTGAAAGGGTCCAGCGTTCTCGATCCGCTGGACCCTCGCCCATGTTGTGGGCGGAATCTGGTGGATGCAGAACACCGGAACCCTTCGCTATTCGTAAGAGAGCCCGACAAATCCAGAATGTCGGATCCCTGTCCATATTGCAGATGGGATCCGGCGGACCCGATACGTCGGACCCTCTTCCGAATGGCAAAGGGTTCCGACGTTCCAGATCCGCCGGACCCCCCTTCCGCGTGGTGGGGGGTCCAACCGGGGGTCCAGCGGATCCGGGATGTCGGACCCTTTGCCGATCATGTTTGTCTCCTCGTCTCTGGCAAGATGTTCTTCGGGTTGCACAATCCTGTTTGGTGATTGCCCTGTTCTTTGTCATGTTTCTTTTCAAGAAAAGTTGAGGCCCCTGATAAGCGTGCATACGGTAGGTTTAAGCTCTACAAGGACAAAGCTTGAGCTCTTGATTGGCTTGGTGGTCTTCATACATCCGGTTGTGGAGTCGTCGCCTTCTTGAGCGATAATAAGGGCGGGAGTTGGTACTGCTGCGGAGGGGTTGAGAAATCTGAAACGGGGTGGGCTAACTATGATGGGAGGAACTTTATGACCTTCTTCCTGACGCCTGTCTATGACAACGAGGGGAAAAACTGGGTCAAGGAAGACAAGAAGGTATCTCTTGACCTTCCACTATTCCAAGGCTACAGTGTCAAGGCTTTCTCAATGAAAGCGTTTAAGTTTGACGTGTGTGGCAACGACACGGAGTTCCGAATGCAGCCTCTGGAATAGTTCCTCTCCAAAACCAATGGCTACCTCGTCACTGGCTCCCTGCCCATCGTCGACAGTGCTTTCCTGCTCAGCAGACCTTTGGTCCAATTCAACAGTCGGACGGACCAGTTAGCAGAATTTTTTATGCGATACAGGGAACAGTTTGCGAAGCTGCTTGTTGCCCAATAAGTCGACTGTGCTTTCGTGCCCATCGAGGCGGTACCCAAACGACGCTAAGATCCGCCGGCCACAACGGGTGTGAAGAGGAAGCAATTGGTGACTGATCCTCCTCCAACGGATGCGTTTGTCCAGGGTCTTGCGGCTCCGGCCTCACCCTCACAGTGGCAACCTCATGACTTGGTCGAGCGCTCCAGCGAGGCTACAAAATACAACGACGACGTTATGCGTCACCAAGTTAGTCCCTAACATCGTCTCCAAGGAGGTGCAAGTGTCGTCGATGAAGAGGGAGAGGAGGGCGATCTGGCAGAAGTCAGTGTCGAGGAGGACGATGAGGGCAACAAAGGAGATATGGATGGTGAAAACGACAACATGGACAATGACGGGAACGTTGGAGGTGACGAAGTCAAAGAGAACCGCTTCTCCCAATGCTCGCGACGACACAAGGACCACAAATGCGCAGGAGTGGCATGGCGATGACGCCTTCGATATTGGTGATGCATGTGCCGTTTGTCGCAAGCCTACAACCTCCCATGGGGTATCACAATCGCATAACCAGATGAAGGATGGACGTGACACATAAGGCTCAAGGGGAAAGAGAAAGAGGGGAGGTATGTCTTCCTCTCCTGCGAGTCAGAAAAAACAAGTAAGGACTTACGCCATCAATGAGGTTCACGGAGCGTGGACGACATCCCAAGAAGCGCAGACTCCTTGGAAAACTGGCGGGGGGGGCCGAACTGAAATTCATGGCGGCGGAAGGAAAGGCTCGTCGAGGATGAGGTCACAAGAGCAGCGGGACTCGAGGGATGAGGGCGAGGGGATGGGGCCTCGTGTGCCCGACAGTGTTGACGAGCCCGTTCAACGCTCCTCACCCCTCGACACGACGCATTGTTTCTTCCTCTAATACGACGAGGACCGTTTCGCTAGGGAACACATGTATGTTGTTAACGTTGATATCACGAGAATTAAATGCATTCCCCGTGGGCAGATTCCTTATAACCACCGCTCTTTGTCTGAGAACATTATACGAGGGATCGAGAATGTCATCAAAAGTTTCATTACTAGCGACCCGGGGGCGTGGGATAGGCGTGATTTCGTCCTTGCACCGATTGATCTGCATGACATTGTGGGCAGACAGGGAAGGCGAATCACACCGACAGAATTCTTGGAAACGGACCCTACAAAGTTCTATTGGTACGCTATCTGTGGTCAACATACCGCTGAGGTCATGAAACGATTGGTAGCAAAGGGCTCCAATGCCGTCAAAGTCTATAGCCTCAATGCGTACCCTAAAATGCGAGTTCTCTACTTCAAAGATGACCACACATGAGGGTACTTCAATGTTTCCACTTTCGACAACACACGATAGAATCTCGTTATTATGTTGTCCTTCCAAGATGTTGTGCGTGATATAAGGTAATGGTGGATCAATAACGAGAGAATCGAGGCCCCCAAAGCTAAGGTCAACGACAAGGACGACGTTGTCGTTATGCATCAGAAGAAGTGGCAAAAATTCCTCAGGGCCTCCATCGTGAAGGCGTGGGACAAGGTGTTTGTGAAGCACGCGCTCGAGGAACGAGTATAATAAGGATTAGAGTACTAAGCTCCGGGGGTACATGAACCTCGCCACGTCAATCATCAACGTTGTGTGGCCACCAGTGGAGAGGTTCTTCACAATGTTCGAAGAGGGAAAACTACTCATTGGCGGTGGCAAAATCCCGCTTGACATGTCGGGGAGGGTGGAGGGAAGTTTGTCAGGTTCATACACCGATGAAATCAAAGGACAAAGGACACTGTACCATTGCATCTACGCACGAGATGGTCCAAAAGGCTTCACCATGTTCTGGAAGGATCTGTACTCTTCGTGCTTCAAGAACTTCGGGGACATGACACGCCGGGAGAGAGAAGTCGCGTTGTTTCTGCTCATGAAGGGGAAGGTGGTGGCTACGAACGTCAAAGTCGTGCCTTCAAGGGTGAACACAGAGTGTCTCTTCGACATCATGTGTAAAGAGAGATACATGACCCGCATGTTCAACTACATTGTGTTCCGTGCCGAGGGGAGGGTGCATGAGGATTGGAACGACGACTTCTTCATGTCGTACAACGACCTCGAAGAAAGGTTTGGGCCAAACGAGCTTTGCACAACAGAATGGGAGCAGGAACGAGAGAAGTTACAAAGCAACAAAGTGAAGATGGTCCCTCGACAACTTGGCGGAGTGGAGGAGGCAAGACAAGGACCGGGCTTGGGACCTACCGAAGCAATGTACAAGGAGGCTCCGTTTCACTTCAAAGTCTTCGTCTACACAGTCATTGATAAACTCGATATGCTCCGAGCAGAGGTGAAACGAATTGCCTTCAACGCACGACATCTTGTCTGAGACAATCTCGGGAGACAGGCGACATTGCTTCTGGTATGCATGCCCGAAGGAAGTATTGGCAGCGTCGGACTATATCGTCGCTTCTGTGCAGAAAATGGCATGCATGGCTGCCATCGTAAACATGTCATCCACCAATTGGAGCACTACATAGATCTCGGAGGACCTGTGTAGCATCGTGTTCGGGTCCGGTCCCTGTTCGCGACCGAATGTGAACGAGCGCTGAAACCCTCCGAACGTGAACATAAAAAAATAAAAAAAACGTTTATCAGAAAAAACTGAAAAACAAATAGGTTCTGTAAAATAATAATTCAAACAACTTTTGCCTGAAAGGTGTGCTCCAATTCGTAACCAAACTCGAGTTAAAATTAAAAAACCGAAAAAAAGTTTTTTTTTTTTTTATATGTTCGGCCGAACACATTCGGCAGGCGTTCGACTGAACACCCGAACACGTTTGAACGTTCGAAAAAGCTCCGAACATGTTCGGTGTGCTACACAGTGGAGGACTTCGATGCACTGCACAACATGATGACCATGTATTGTGGCTAGAATTGTGTCCTCTTCTTTTTTGCGCCGCAGAACGTGCAAAGCGATGTCTTGCGTCACGTATTTCGTTGGGAGGACGTACAAGTCATCCCTGGGACCTGGAAACGATTCGACAATCCCTCCAATGACGTGACAAAGTACGATAACATCGCAACAACGATGCGAGACATGATGACCATTGTCATGCGTGCGGATGAAGAGGATCTAAAGAAAGTCACTTTCGCACCACGACTTGGCAATGACCTCACTGAAGTGCATGTCGTGGAGGAGAAGTTCGGAAAGTGTCTGGAAAAACACGGTGGCATTGACGGTGACGAAAGTGCTGCATATTCTATGTGAGAGCGAGAACTTGACAGGTTGTGTTCCTTATGTGGCTCGTAAATCGGAGAGGCAGAAGGTGTACTTTTGTTGGGAAGGGTTCATGCAGGACTCGTGTGGGACTTCTTGTGTGTAGGCAATAATGTCATTGCATGTGACGAGTCGGCGAAGGACATTGCGTACTTGACAAAGTTCATCGACATACTAGTCAAGGATAAGAGATTCGGTTGTCGACTCAAGAAGTCGCGTTGCACATATTGCAACAACAGGGATATGTACAACAAGTTGGGACCCAAGAGACTGAAGGTGTGAGAATACCTGTTCCACGATGCACCGCAAGGACGTCTTCATGAGCATTACATATATAAGAAAGCAAAGGCGAGTGAGACCCTCAAATGTTATCACGGTGCTCTGACCGACACCTTTAAAACTTTCGTTGCTCGTTGCAAGATCCTGAAAATTGATCTTCAGAAGACGCACTCACGTTCAAGGACGACGGAGAGCTCGCAAAAATAGGTGAAGGGTTTAACCCGGTCGACAGTGAGGAAGACGCCTTCGACTCAGAGCTCGATATGGGAAACGACACTGATGCAACCAGATGACATGGCCAGGGCGCTGCTGCAGAGCACGACGGCAAGGATCCTAAATGTCGCATGACAAAGGCACATGTAAATGAAACCGGTCGATCAGAGGGATGCTCAAAGCCGTCGCTCGCGAACAGTGTAGCCCGATGGTGGATCGGGTCAAGTGTACGCGTATGGATGCAAAGACTGTAATGTGTTGTGCAGATGAAGACAATGAGCTTGATATACCTAATGAGGCGACAAAGCTGGCGGCGCCGGGCGATCCGATTCCTCACGGCTTCTGTGCGGACCCAAACAATATGTATTTCTTGCAGGACAAACACGCCCGCACTAGTGAGGACAAGTGTGGCCATGACATCCTTGGGCATGATAGCATTTTTGAGCCATGCATCCAAGGTGGGGAGTGGAAGGTGGCGGTGAAATACCAGACCGGTTGGAGAAAACAACGGAGCAGGCAATTTTATACCGCGTGTAGGTCGAGAATCCCGGGGAGAGCGACACCGCCATCAAAGCAAAGGTGAAAATTTTGTCCAGTGCCTTGCGAGACACTCAACAGTTCGAGTACAGCCCCAAGTTTTACGACCTATGCACGAGCCCCTCGCGCGGATCAATAGACTCGAAGGTGGACCACGCAGCCGATTTGAGGATCGCTGGAAGCATGGAGGTGAACTCTCTAGAAGATGTCGTGGTTGTGTCCATGCCGGCCACGGAGAACACGAAGGGTAAGCAAAGCGAAAATGACAGAACCACGTCCATGAGAGGTCCATTGATTCGAGATGTGGGGAAAACATCCGCAGGGAAAAAGTCCGTCATAGCCATATCGATTGCCATGAGAGAAACATCAGAAGGTGTGCAGGTGTCAATAAACAAGTCGTCGAACGCGGGTGCCATGTACGGAAGTCTCCTCGCGACAAGTGCTGCAATGGAAGGCAGATTAAAGATGTAGTCCACGTCCGTTGTTGAGATGAGCGTCACGAGAATATCATTGCATCCGCCCTCATGCACTAACAAAGGTGATGCACACTATACAACAACACCACAGGGAGGGGCCGCGGGGGATGGTGGGAAAGGGGGGTATGCAGAGGGGTCTCAACATTCTCCCAATCTTGAGAACATGATGACCGTGGACGACGAGGATGAGGCCGAAGGTGGAAAGGGCGTGGTCGATACCACCCCTATGAAACATGAGGGGTGAGGCCGGGAATGGACTCGGGGGACACAAGTGGTTAACGACCGACTGAAATTTCAGTATGAAAGATTTTGAAGTTTGTTAATAGAGGTATGAAATCATTGAAATGGCTTGAAGACACTTCATGTCGTTTCAGGAGTTTCAGGTGGTTGAAAGGTCAGATTTTATGTTTTTTGTTTTTTTTTGTCTATTTTTGTTTTGGTTCAACATTGTTGTGTGCCACTTCAGATCATTTCAGGAGTTTCGGGTGGGGAAACCTGATACCTCTGAAATGACCTGAAGTGGTTGAAGCTTCTGAAAGTGATTTTAGATCTCTCCATCCAAATTTTTGGATTGTGGCATCTTAAACCGTTTTCATATTTTCGGCCATTTCAAACCATTTCAAGAGTTTCGGGTGGGGAAACATGAAACCTCTCAAAATGACCTGAAGTGGCTGAAGCTTCCGAAAACGGTTTCATGTCCCCCATCCAAATGCTTAGGTAGGGGAACCTAAAACCGCTTTCAAAATCTTCAGCCACTTCATATTATTCCCGGAGTTTCGGGTGGGGAGACCTTAAACCTCTGAAATGACCTGAAGTGGTTGAACTTTCTGAAAGCGGTTTCCGGTCCCCCCGTCCAAATGCTTGGATGGGTGGACTTGAAACCGCTTTCAGAAGTTTCGGCTACTTCAGCTCATCTAAGAGGTTTCAAGTGGGGACCTGAAACCTTTGAAATGCCCTGAAGTGGTTGAAGCTTCTAAAGGCGGTTTCACGTCCCCCCATCCAAGTATCCAACACATGTATGAAGCAGTTGAAAATAACCTAAAAATATAGGCATTTGTTAACCTTTTCTCTCGGGGGAAATCCTCATCGCAGGAATTGCAATGTTTTATTTGATTACTTTGATACAATTGTGGTGTTTACTCAATTATTTTTATTTTATTTGAGAATATGATTTGTGGGTCATTTAATCTATTCATGGTCCCCGATTTCTTTTTTTTTGATAAAATTTGTTCAATCCAAGTTTTTGGGATTTGCCCGTTTCGTTTGCTTAAAAGAAATTATACGGTTAACGTGAGTGTGTGCGTTATATGGTAGTATGAATATGTTTCTCTCTCTATTCGTCGAGATGTGGCGGTGTGTCGGTGCATGCACGCCTTGGGGTACCAAATGGGCTTAGAGTCATGACTGATTGATTGTACACATCAATATCATTCATGTAAGTGTAAGATTAAAAAAACATTGATGACATATTTTGAATACTTCCTCTCCGTTTGTTCAGGTTGTGGCGAGGCACTTGCCTATGTACAAGGATGTTACCCTCCTCCCCTCCCCCCGCCCCCGCCCCCCCCTCCACACATTCCGCGCCACCGGTTTTGCACCCCCATCAATGTCGTTTTCGTCGTGGTTGTTATGTGCAGTACAAATTCCAACAACGGATGCAAAAAAATGCAAAAGAGGGTGGACAATGCGTCTCGCAACGTCGTCTTTATTAGAGAAGGAGATGAAAGCAATATCGCATATCATTCGAGAATACGGAAATAAGTTTCCAATAGCGAGCATATACGATCACGGAATGAACGAAGTATTGAAGCTCACTGGAGACGATTTCATTTTACTGGTCGTCGGACGGAAGTGGTTAAATGACAACGTCGCCAATTTCTGCCTAAACCTCATCAGACTAGATAACTTATGCAGAATCACACATGTAGAATGCAACGCAAAGAATGAAACCGTGATTAGAACAGGAAAGGGCCGCATTCCTAGAATATCGATGGTGAGCTTATTTTTCTTCGCCAAACTTTTCAACAACGAAAAGGGGTATTGAGAGCGAAAGGTGCAACATTGGTTAAAAAACGTTGTAATAAGTGGCATGGACTTGATCATTGCTCTTTCGATATCGCACACATGAACCACTGGACCCTCGTCGTCGTTGACTTCAAAAGGAGAAAATTCAAATTTTATGACTCCCTCAACCCCGGCATAGAATTGGCAAGAAAAGTAACCGGCGGTTTCGCGAAGTTTTCATTCGAAAGATCGATTGCGCAAAGCAAAGTGATGGACACGAAACCCTTCAATCACATATGGAACGTAAAGTGCATTTCGAAACAACGTGACTCGAATGAATGAGGGGTCTTCATGCTCACATATGCATCACTTTTGGTAAGGGGTCACCTTCCACCTTTCTCTTTCATTGTTGATAACATACCCACAATATGTCGTCGATTGACTTTGGATACAGTGGCTCGTGAGTAATATATACATGTTATTCAATATTATGATTACATGCAGACAAATGTGGGTGGCATGAGATTGTTTGTAACAGAAACATTGTATAGAAGGTGGCCAACATTACTCTATACCCTTTACCCCTTACCCCTTGCCATTCACCCATCATGCCTTACTCCTAAACCC